ATTCACGAGATAGATGGACGACGGTGTGAGGTGAAGATACCGCTCTCCAGGGTTGGTTTTGGCTTATTTGTCTCGTTTGGCACTTCTTCACTTTAGGGGATGGCGTGCGAGCGCGCGCATAATCACACATTTAAATTTAATCAGACGCGCGTAACGTGGGTGTTTAAGCGTATGCTGTTGCGCGCGAGCGCGCGTGCGACGGGCTCCCGCCGCGAAATTTGAACAATTATTATTTTAAGTGTGTCCGTCCTTTTAAGGTGATTCATGATTATTTTAAGGGTGAAGTATCTCCACCAGTGGTAACGCGAGTATTTTTGGGACGTGTACCTGAGACGATGACGGCCGATGATCTGAGGACATTCTTCAACGAGGAGGCGGCCAAGATCGATCCGGATGCAAAGGTGATCGATCATTTGATTGTTGTGGTATGTGGAGAGTAATTTTTGAATTTCAGGTGACAGACGTCTACATCCCGCGTCCGTTCAGATCGTTTGCGTTCGTCAACTTCTCCAGTGGGCTGGTAGCGGCCAAACTTATAAGGTTGGTGATTTTAAGTGGTTGTTTTAAGTGCTGTTAGGTATTAATATTATGGTGGCGATTGCAGTAAGGGGGATTATGTGGTGAAAGGCTCATCGCTGGCCGTGTGCGCGGCGGCTCCACGGGAATATTCGGATTATTCGCCGCGGATGGCGCCGAAAGGGAACTACGCAGGAGGGGGATCGTATATTAGGAAGATTGCCACTGCGTCACCACGATACGACTCCTATTCAGCGAGACAGCAGCAGCAGGTGGGTATTAACATGATATTAGTATGAATATAAAACTTTGACCTGAAATATCAAACAACTTCGGCACTTGTTTACTTTGGCGGGCGGATTGCAAGCGAGCACGCTCGCGTACGACAACACACGTACGTTCACGCGATATGAACGACGCTTCCACAGCGACCTAGGCCACGCCTACTGCGCGCTGAGGTTACTCTTATTGTTAGGCTGAGACCATGCGTGGCAGTAGGCGTGGCCTCAATTGTTATGCGCGAGCGTGGTGCCTGTGTGCGAACCCTCCCCCCTCCAAGTAAACAAGTGCTACAATCTTAAGTGTTTCTAGGTAATTTGTGATTATTTTTCAGTCTTCGGGTAGCGGAGGTGGCTACT